CAAACCAGCTCAATCTGTGCCAAGTCTGACCCAAGGAAGACCACAGGAGCATGCCCATTTCCAAATGCAATACTAAATGTTACTAGTGTCTTATATAAGACACCTGACTTCCAACTAGGAATTACAGCCTACACAAAACACTGGGCTTCTTGGAGCCCCAAGCAACCAGGGCTCCAGCTGTCATCCTGCTGGGATATTTTAGGACCAGGGAACGGTAGCCCTCTGGCCACTGATCAAGACCTTGACTCCCAATTCAGGAACTTGCCCAGCAAGCCCCGCCCTCCCACCTACAACTCCTGCTCGTGCTTGTTGGGGAAGTCTTATGCTAATAAAGCACTGTCTGGCCAATAGGAATCTAGATAGGTGGGGTTAGGAGTCCAGGAGGACTCTGGGTAGGAGTAACACGAGGGGTTCGAGATGTAACCGCCATTGGGGTAGGAAGCCTGGAACTATTCTCCGTTTTTTGCTTGCTCAGGAAGGAACTGCTACTAAAGTACACTTGATTATAAATGCTGCTAAATTAATACAACTTATATCTTTTGAAAATACGTTGACTTCAAAATTTAAGCATAAGGATATGTTACTCGGAAAAGGAGTTTTTATTTATGTTTCTACAGAAAATGAAAAGCTAAGGATTCCTTCCAGGCTTTTGTGGTTTGACGAACCAAGATCCCCGGAAGCAGTGGACCAGGTGTTCCAACAATCGAAACAGCGAAGATGATGCAGTCTTACAGACCCCGAAAATATGGACTTATACAGGTTTCTGAGTTTTGTCATGATCCCCATGGTATAAACAGCGCCCCCTTCCAGCAGGAAGCAGTTTGGAATGAGCGACGTCCCAATTCCCATCTTGTTTATAAATCTTTGTTTTCATTTAAATGGGATTGTTTATAATTGGCTAGTGATCACAGCCAATCTTTTGTAATGGTAAAAAGGGGAATTATGGTATGGGTATTGTTTTTCATTTATTGAGACAAAATCAAGGTCAATTTTGTGATGCTTATATTTCTCCTCTTGATTAAGTATTGTGCTTATATTGATCTTTTACAACGTAATGCATAATTAAATACAGACTATAGATAGTTACTTATAATAGAATTTCTAGTTACATAAGTTAGGTTTCTAGATATACAGAAATATATTTGAGATGGACAGTCTTCAAACCTCTCAAAGACCTTCAGAACATGGCATTTAAAATGGTTTAGGGTTTTTCTTGACAATGAGAAATGTCTGCTCCTGGCAGCACCAGTTACGTCTGAGAGGAAGATGGGCATCGAAGAAACTTGTTATGGAGTTTGCTTTCAACATGGCAAGATTAGCCATTTGGTCAAGAAACTGCTCTTGCCTAGACTGTTTGACTATTGTTGTATAATCTGGACATGCAGGACCCATAGGGATGTGACTACTAAACTCAGTCTTACAGGGTTCCTGCTGCATGAAAGTGTCTACGGGACTTTCTGTAGGACACAAAAAAATGACTGACAGACTGCCAATGCAGATGGACAGTTTGAAATTTCCTGCTTTGCTGAGAAGTGTTCCAGACACATTGTGGCCTATGGGCTGAAGATGGATGCCCCGACAATACAGAGGAACTTCAGGTGACTGTCCAGGCAGTAAGATGTGTCTGTCAATCCTAGTGATTATATATTATCCTTCTGTGGTCTTTGATGGAGTTGAAGACAGATAGTTATAATTATAGTTTTCCTTAGTTATGATAAAAGATAAGCTACATATGGAACTTTGGACTCACAAGGATGGGATGGATGATATTTTCTTTAAATCTTGCTAAAATATTGTAACTATGTTCTTATTTGATAACTGTTCTGTTATATATGATTTGACTATGTCAAAGTTAAGACCTTTCTTTTTGTTTAAACAGAAAAGAGGAGCTGTTGGGGGAAGTCCTGTGCATTTGTCAATAAAGTACTGTTGAGCCTATAGGAAACCTAGATAGGAGGGACTAGGAGTCCAGGAGAACTCTGGGAAGGAGAAAGACAAGAGGGTCGACATGTGACGCCATAGGGGTAAGAAGCCGGGAACTATTCTCCGGTAAGAAACATACTTAGATTAACAATTATGGGGTAATTACTTAAGGCAGAGCTAGCCAGTAAGGGACAAGCAAGGCCAACAGCTTCATAATTAATATAGCCTCCTGTGTGTTTATTTGAGACTCAAGCGGATCTAAAACCAGGCTGGCGCGGCAGAGCCCAGGTGACTGGCGGGGGATAAACCAAAGCGGCTAGCAAAAGAAAAAGCTTCTCTTAACAGTGCTCACGCCACTCAGCACTCATAACGGTGGCTTCCAAGCACAAGTTGACTTTTTTCCTTTTTAGACAAAATCCCTGAAAATCAGCTTCTAGGTTCTTTGCTAGAAACTAACTAGGAATTTCTGGCCACATGACTCCTGCCAAATGTGTCCTGGGGCAACTGCTCAAGACAGCTACGGTGAAGGCTGTGTAAGTTCTCATTTGTCCTTGTTGATGCTTCCAACCACGACCTGCACAAACCATGGCTCCGGAGTGCTCCCAGCACGTCAGCACACGCCTCTCCACATGCCAGGCTGAGAAGATGGCACCTCTGTCAGGTGTCACTTGTCTCAACTCTCTTTTTACACCCTAACCTCCATGTTTCCTTCTACCACTGCCTGGTGCACTCGGGCCAGAAATTTAGGCTTCAATTCTCGCTTATCCTTCCCCTGGCCTTCCTTTCCCAGGTTGCCTGTGCCCTCCTCTCCATCTCTGGACCATAGTTACCTCCTTACCTCCAGCCTTGTTCCCCTCCCTTCCATCTGTAGGAGCCCCACAGAGTGAGTTTTGTATGGCAGATCTGACCACAAGGCCACTCCGTGGTTCTCAGCCACCCTCCAGAATTCCAAGCTCTACCAGGCTCCCTCCGGGACTCCTCCTGCCACCTCCCCATCCCACCTCCCCCTCCCAGCACAGCTGCTGAGGAGCTCACCACTCCCTGTGGTGCTGTGTCCCTCCTGCAGGCTCTCTCCCTCACCTTCTGTACTGCTCTCCCGGCCAACTCCTACTCTTCCCGCACAGCTTGAGTCAAGGGCATTACTTTAGGACCTGTCCTGGCTCCTGGAAGCACCCGCACTTCCAGGTTCCTATGCCACACCGCTGGTACTTCTATCAGAGAACCCCTCAACTAGACCGCTGTCACCTTTAAAAAAAATGGCTTACTGAGTGCCTGCTATGTACCTGGTGCACTTTTAAGCTCCCCTTCCCTTTCTTTCCTTCCTCCCCTTCTTTTCTTTCTTTTTTTGACATTAGGGCCTAGATACATAGCCGAGACTGGCCCTGAATCTGTGACCTCCCTGCTTTAACCTCCATAGTGCTGGACTTGCAGGCATCACCTCCATGACCAACCTCATGCTTCTGCATGTGACCTTGTCATCATCTTCACCACACCTGAAGGAAGCAAGGGCAGCAGGGCCAGCATTTTGTTCCACAGCCATGCCATCAATAACTGTGTGAAGAGAGAAGTCCTCTCTGAGGGCCCAAACCTGATCCTTTTGTCATGGACCTGTGAAAGTTAACTAGCCTCCTTCCACAAGGTCTCACTATGTAACCCAGGCTGGCCTTGGCTTTGTGGTGGACCTCCTGCCTCAGCCTCTCATGTACTGGGATTCCAGATATACACACCATGCTAGGCCCTCTTCCTTTAAAAAAATCTATTTTCTCCTTATAATATAGTATTTTGTGTTTCTGTGGTAACACCATCTAAGAACTTCCTTAGGAGTGGGCTTGGTAACTTAAAATACAACTGTAATTAACCACTCTAGAAGCCTTTAAGCCCCACAATGGACTCTGTATAATGCTTATCAACCAGTTTATGAGCACTTCTGCTAATGTCACAGCACTGAACCCTCAGATCTCAGGGAGAAGCCACACGGAAACACTCTTTTCCACAGTATCCAAGTGCAGGTAATTCACAGTGAAACGGTGGGGAGCTGGGGTCACAGCCCAGCTGCATAGCTAAGCTTCTTTCTGCCCACCCCTCAGGACCCTCTGTCAGCAGACATGGAGGTTGCTCTTCAGCACTCAGGGTGACTCCGCCCGCAAGGCAGTAATCCCATCAGCGCTGGCAGGCTGCTCCTCGGGTGATGCCCACCTTTCTAGACTCCGGACAAGATGACTCTGCTTGCTCCCTGCAGCACTGTCTTAGTGTTTTTCAAAGATTTATTTTATGGGTATGGGTGTTTTCCCTGCACGTATGTATGTGCTTGCCGTGCCCATGGGGTTCAGAAGAGGGCTTTGGGTCCCCTGGAACTGGAGTTGCAGATGGTTGTGAGCCACCACGTGGGTGCTAGAAACCAAATCTGGGACTTCTGGAAGTGCAACAAGTGCTCTTATCCACTAAACCATCTCTTCAGCCCCACAACCTTTCAACATGTTCCAGGTGCGTGGGCAAATCAACCCCACAAACAGGCCCAGAACAGGATGATCTTGCTTCTAGAATGTACCCCCTCTCCCCAGCACACATGCTCCCCTTACCCTACACCCTCTGCTCTAGTCCTCCTACTCCTGCAGAAACCCCCTTCCAAACATCCCACTGGATTCTAAAACGAAGGCAGTGAACGTGTCTCTAAATCTCTGCCCTATGGGGAAGAAACCAGACACCAAACGAGCAAACTTATTTCTTCTACAAACTCCTAGGGAACATGTCTGCAGGGAGAATGACACATAAATGGAGATACAAGACCTGGGCTCTGTCTCACACTTGCTCAATGACTCCAGGTAAGACTCCTTCCCTCTCTGTGCCTCTGTTTTCTTTTCTGAGAAATGGGAAGAAGTTTGTCTTATCCAACTCAGATGATGGACAGGAAGTCAAGTATATCTAATAAGCTTGAAAATCATTGAAAAATGCAAATAGCTCATCACCCCCTTTCCACACAGTCCCAGGAGCCCCCCCCCCCGAAAAGGATGACTCATCTCTCCGCAACGGTCGCCCAGCGAAGCCTGAGTCTGCCGTGCCCGTCGTCGGGACAGTACCTTGCTATTGTGGATACACCTCACTGCATAAGTTAGGTTCCGGAAGATGTTCCCTTCCATCTTGGCTCGGCCGTAAGAGCAGACGAAGACGCCACCCTTCCCATCCCGGAAGAGGCACTTGCGGATGAGGCAGCCCTGCACAGAGCTGGCCAGTGCCATGGCCTCCTTGTCCTTCTGCAACTCCTGATGCAGTGAGTTCAGCACCAGGCAGCTGGGCAGCTGAATGGATGCTCCTGGCAGTGGAGGGCCCAGGAAGGAGCCGCCCAGGACAGGGCGCGGGCCCTGCACCTGGTAGGACAGCCTGTACGTGAGCTGCTCATCGTCCTCGTCCTCACCGCTGGGGCTCAGACCACCATCACTGCTCTCTGGAGTGGGGGCCACCCTCTCCCCATCGCTGCACACTTCTGCCTCTTGGGAGCCAGCCTTAGAGCCTGGCTTTGGAGAGCTCGAGGCTGGGCTGGTAGGACTCTGGCTGCCCTCGATGACAATGTCACAGGTCCTTGGGCTCCAGGCCTGGTCCCGGCTCTCTAGGTCCAAGGACATTAAAAAATCACGGTGTTCTGTAGGGAGCAAGATCGGAGAGGACTTGATTAGGCCCAGCAGGTACTTGTAGGCCCAGTTCTTATCTGCCGATGGGTGACCCTCAACAGTTACAGAGTTGTTTTCGCTGCCCACAAACTCACAGTTTTCCAACATACATAAGGGCACATTGTGCAAAAAGACATGGGTGTTTTTGAAGGTACAAAATTTCACTTGGCAGGTACCCGGGCCATGGACCTGGATGTGTCCATTCTCAAAGTTGCAGTTGTCAAACTGGATGTGACCTGATGTGGTCTGGGGGACAAGAAGGAGAAGACACGGTAAGAAGCCAAACTTCTGTTTTGATGGTCATCACCCAAGCTATTCTTCTAGGAGGGCAGAGACAGAAAGGCCCTCGGTTTCACGTCCTACCCTTCTGTAAAAGGCTGCTACGTCAGCTGTCACTCAAAGGAACTGGGAGTAGGTCTGCATCAAAGAGGCACAAGAAAAACTGTCAATCATTGCATCCTTCTAAATCCGTTATCCTTCTAAAGGCCACAGTAGAGGTCATGCGAGAAGGGACTGAGCACTGCCTTGACTGGGACAGGCTCTGGGGTTGGCCCAGCCACAGGCTTTAGGACAGAGCAGTCTGTGCAGCTATGGCGTGTGGTGGAGAAGAGCGAATGGCGGGTCTTATCTTCACAGAGAAAAGACGGGGACTGCTGCCAGGGGTGGAGTATGCTCTGCCGCGTCATGTGTGTGAGCCAGGACAAATGGCCTCGCCTCTCTAAGCCTCAGTTTCCCTGTCTGTAGCAAGGGGCTTGCTAGTTTATATATCACAAAGCTGGCACTCAGTGACAGTTAACTATTATGGTCAGAGGTCAAAGACACAAGGCCCTCAGGAGTCTGGGGGTAGGACGGGAAAGCACTGAGCCTGTTAATTCAATTGGGACCCTGGGCTTGAGTGACAGACAAGCTTTGGGGAGGTCAGACTGCACCCTTTTCTGGATTCACATAAACTCCACCAGATACATCTCCACCGTAAAACAAAGGAGCGTCTCATGAGTCTAACCCAAGCAGACCTACCCCTTGAGCAATTAAAAACATTCTCCATCAGTGATAGCCTTGACAATTTTCAGAGGAGGAGGTGACGTCCCTGACCCCAGGTACTCTAGGTGCTTCCGTGTGGCTCCACAGCCTTCCGTGCTGCCAGGGAAACCTTCTTCCCTACTCAGTCCTCTTGGTTTCCTGGGGATGCAGTCGGTGTACAAGTTCTCTTAAGAGATCACCGAACACTTCTGTGAAATTGTCCCAGCTTTTCGGTTTCCAGGCAAGGACATCTCAGACCTCCTGCCCTTTTAACAGGGACCTAGCGTTCACAATGTGAAGCACTAACCAGAAGGCTGTAAGAAGCCTGCAGCCAGACCTGTCTCCTGAGGAGCTACAGCTGATTACCCACCTGGGAAACTGACTAGCATCTGGTCTCTGACTTTTGTAATACCCCTCACCTGCCCAAGGGAATCATAGCCAATACCCCTCACGTGGTCAATGGACCCATAGCTACCGATCCCCACAGATGTCTGCTTAGATGGGAGGTTGTCTTGATTATTAATAAGGCTTTGATCACAAGACTGAAACCTTGGTTATGCTGCTATCATTGGGCCTCAGTTTCCCTCATGTATAAAGCTAGGGCTGTGGAGAGGAGGAAGTGAGGTTGTTTGCATGTAAAGCACACCCTGATCATTCCAGCAGAGACAAGCCTGGCTGCGTGCGACAGGAACATTTCTAGCCCGTGTACAGGCTCCGTGCGTTTCTGCAAGGTCACCCGCTCCTCCACAAGTGCTGCGTTTAGAACACAACTGCTTGGGGGCTGGAGAGATGGCTCAGAGGTTAAGAGCACTGACTGTTCTTCCAGAGGTCTTGAGTTCAATTCCCAGCAACCACATGGTGGCTCACACAATCATCTACAATTCAATCTGGTGTATATGTAATAAATAAATCTTTAAAAAAAGAACACAATTGCTCTTCGCTAATGAATGGCAGCTGGACTAGTATTTCCTGACTGTCCCTCCAGGGACCCTTGAGAAGCAGAGACTCTGGCACGGGGTGAGGGTACTGGTACCGAGGGTCACTGCCGGCTCTCTGGGCATGCTGCTGTGAGCAGCTAGTGTCCTGCCACCATGCTGTCCACTCTGCCATCTCACTGGGCATAAAACTTTTTGTCCTCGGCCCATCTCTCATTTCTAATGTGGCTTTGAAGGAAATAAGGTACAAAACATAATTCTGTACTGACCCATGGCCCACTTCTCAACTAGTTCAATTCTCGGGACTATGTGCACAGGAGTTAACTACCAACCTCTCAACCCTAACCCAAAAGGGAAACACACTATTGAGGCCAAGGTTGTGGGGACGGGACCGGATGGCATCTGAGGTGCACCCACCTTATACATGATTGGTGAGAACCAGGCCGGCATGAAGACAAGGTTGCACACGCGTGTGGTTGAGCAGTGCTGGTCAATGCTGGCAAGCAGGGCCACCTCGCCCAACTTCCCTTGGCCCACAATCTCCACTGGCACCTTCAGGATGATTTCACCTTGCTCCTCGTACACACCTGGGAACAGCACGATTCGATCATAGAGGCTGGCCATGGCTAAGGCACTGCCCAAGCTGTCAAACTCATGACCCGGCCCAACACTCAAGGTGCGGCGCTCCCTCTTCCTGCGGAACAGAGAGAAGCAGATGGAGGATTCCAAGTCCAGCGCATTCTTGGTCCAGGTCTTGGAGGCAAGATAGTGCTGCTTGAAGGCCTCCCTCCAGGACTCAGGCTCCACATCGGGCTGGTTGGGCCAGTTGGGGTGGCGGCACTCAGTGCAGCCCAGACACAGCTGCCGCCAGCGGGTACTGTCAAGGCTGAGGATCAGCTCATACCAGGCCCTGCACACCAGGCTGCAGCGGCCCAGGTCAGGCAGGTGCAGGTAGGCTAAGATCATGCGCCACAGCTCCAGGGGGAGGCCGCCCGTTTCCATGGTCACCTGGGAGAAAGACACAGAAGGAGATTATGTCTACTCCCTTTTTACTGTTTCCTTTTTAAAAATAACACCTCCTGACCCCAGGGATGAGCAAGTGAACAAGACACAGCCAATCAGAGGGTTCCATTTCCTCAAGGAGAATCGGTAATGGCTAATTTTGATTGTAACTTGGTTAGATGAAGAAACAGCTAAGTGATCAGTGAAGCAGTTCCAGAGATAAGAAGGTCAGGAGAACTCTGACCTACTCAGCATGCTAGTCCCTCAACAGATTCATTCTATGATGGCACTGTGGCAAGTAGTGAAAGGTAGAGTCTAGTACGGAAGCAGGGCCTGGCAGCATGTCCTTGGAGATATATCTTGCGCTGGTCTCTTCCGGTAATACTCTTTTTCTCTGCTTCCATACGTCATAAGGTAAAAGCACCCGCTCTAGGCTAGAGAGATGTCTCAGTGGTTAAAAGCACTTGCTGCTCTTCCAGAGGATCTGAGTTCAGATTCCAAAACCCACATCAGATGGTTGACAACCACCTGTAATCCCACCCCCAGGGCATTCTACACTTTCTTCTGGCTTCCACAGGCACCTGCACTCACATAGCATACAAGAACATGTATATGGGCTGGAGAGATGGCTCAGAGGTTAAGAGCACTGGCTGCTCTTCCAGAGGTCCTGAATTCAATTCCCAGCAACCGCATGGTGGCTTAAAATCCATAATGAGATCTGCTGCCCTCTGCAGGGTTACATACAGGCGGAACACTTTATACATAATAAACACATCGTTAAAAAAAAGAACATGCATACATACAGACTTACACATAAAAATAAATATACTCTTAAAAACCTGTTCTAGGCTAGGTAGTGGTAGTACACACCTTTAATCCCACCACTTGGAAGGCAGAGGCAGGTAGATCTCAGTGAGTTCAAGGCCAGCCAGCCTGGTCTACAGAGTGAGTTTCAGTACAACCAGGACTGTTAAACAGAAAAACCCTGTCTCAAAACAAAACAAAACAAAAAACCCCGAAAAACCCGAAAGCAAAAAACTCCCAACTAACCAAACAACAACAAAACCCTGTTCAATAAGTCAGCTATAGTGGCGCACGCCTTTAATCCCAGCACTTGGGAGCAGAGGCAGGTGGATCTGAGTTCAAGGCTACAGAGAGTTCCAGGACAATCAGGGCCACATAACGAAACCCTGTCTCAAGACAAACAGACAAACCCCTGTTTTGCCATACTCTGTTTTGATATTCTGCTCAATCACATATAGGTTTTCTTGTTCTTTTAAATATTTATTGATTTATCTTATGAATATGAGAGAGCTGTCTTCATGCATACCAGAAGAGGAACTGATGTGATGGGTACAGATAGCTAGCTGTAAGCCACCGTGTGGTGCTGGGAATTGAACTTAGGACCTCTGGAAGAGCAGCCAGTGCTCTTAACTGATGGGCCATTTGTTCAGCCTCCAACAACATATAGTTAAAAGCAACTGCCAACTCTAAACCATGAGCCAAAATAAGTAATTCTTTTAGGTTCTTTCTGTCAGGTATTTGGTCAGAATGACAAGAAAAGTCACTATTACAGACTGTGGAGGTTTTCATCTATCCTGCCATCAGGAGGTTAGTCTCTTGTCTCTTCAGTCAGGTACTCTAAGAATATGACCCCAGAACTCCCGGCAACCAGGGTCCCCACCTTGTGAAGAAAACCTTGTGATACTGTTGCAGCCAACAAAACAGGAGGATGGAGCCACCTAAGCCCTTTGACATCAGACATGCAACTATAGGATTCAGAGTTTAACCTGCCGGGTGTCAGGCTTGCTCTGGTCCAGTGTTTCCTCACCACGCTCCCTTTCCTCCCTTTTGGAATGGTAATATATACTCAGTGCCATCATATGCTGGAAGTATGTGATTTGATTCTGGGGGGTTACAGTTAAGAGACTGCATGAGTCTCAGAAGAGACTTTGGACGTTTAAACAGTGTTGAGACTGAAAGACTATGGGCGTTTGAAGCTGGATTGAATGTATTTCATATTTTGATATGGCTTTAATCCTGTGGGGGCCAGGGAGAAGAATCTGGTAGTCTGATAAGAAAGGGCCCCATAGGCTCAGATTTTTGAATGCTTGGTCTTGAGTTGGTAGCACCATTTGGGGAGGATTAAGTGTCACTAGAGGTGAGCTTGAGAGTTTACAGATTTGTGTCATTTTGAGTTCACCCTCTCTGTATCCTTCTTGCACTTCAAGCTGCCATTTGTTGCCTGCCTGCTTCCGTACCATGATACTGATGGACTCTAACCTCTGCAACACAGCCCAGATAAACCCTTCCTTCTGTCATTTGTCATGGCCAGGGCGTCTTACAACAGCAAGAAAAAGCAGCCGATACAGAAGTTGGCACCACTGTGGCGACAGACCTGACCATGTTGGTTTTTGGAGGAATGTGGAAGACTTTGGAATTTTGGATCAGAAAAGCCATTAAACATGTAAGTGGAGCTTAACAGGTCACACTAGTAGACCAGCCTTGTTCTTTGCCAAAGTATCACTGAAAGGTCACGAGCCTAGTTGATAATACTGAGCTGGATCCCCAAGGTCTGAACAGTTCTGAGAGTTGCTGTTTTCCACACCCTTATTCTCAATCCCGCCTTCAGTGACATACTTCCTCCAACCATGCCACACCTCCTAAGCCTCCCCAAACAGTGCCACCAACAGGGGATCTCATGAGGGTTACTCTCATTCAAATCATTACAAGTATAACAACCATGCAGGAAGGAGTAGAGATGAACTATGGAGACAAGAAAGAAGAAAAGAGCCCGATGACAGGTGCATGTATCCTGCAAGTATGGAATCCAGATTCCTGGGATACCACTGGGATCTACCAAATGGAGCTTGGATTCATCCAGAGGGAGGCCATCTTTGGCTACAATGGTGCTTGGAGTCTACATGCCCTAAATACAAACAAGAACTAAGTACCTATTTGTCTTTCCTTTATCACTCCCAGATCAAATAATCACTGTGTTTCCCTAAGGAAGGCTGTGTGGGTTTTGGTCCTTGCTCAGCTACTCCCTGATGTAACCATATCCTAAGCATCTACAGGGCTGGATGCCCCACTGTCTGCCTCCTTGATTTCTTTGGAAAATATCCTTCCCTCTCACCAACAATTTATACCACATGATTACAGAGTCAGGAGTCTCTTTAAAAATAAAAGTACATAACAGAATGATACCCAGCCTTCTGGCTGCATCTGATGGGCTGTAACAGACACAAATGGCCCGCTGAGACCTTCTCTAGATGAACATGAGTTGACATTCCAGCAGTTGACTTCTTTCTTAGATGACGGGACACCAGCACTTCTTTCCTAACAATAAACTCCTGAGTAGGTGCTGGCAATCATTTTTCCATGGGGGACAGGAAGTAGACGCTGAGCTGCAATGAGAGAATGAACTCGAGAGAGCATTGCAAGCAACGGACAGTTTCTCTGTACGTCATGGTGCCGGTTTCAATGCTCAGCTTTACCCTGGGCCTTTGAGTGCTGTTATCTCCAAGCCCCTCTAACAAATTCCCATTTAGAATGGGTCACCCAGAACTCTAATACAAGTACTTGGAGTATCAGGAGTTCAGGGCCAGCCTGGGCTATGAGACTTCTGTCATAAATAAGTAAATAGTTTCCTTTTTGGCATAAGCCTATCACATCCAATTTCTGTTATTAATACCAAGATAGTTCTCGTTCTCTCTCTCTCTCTCTCTCTCTCTCTCTCTCTCTCTCTCTCTCTCTCTCTCTCTCTCTCTCTCTCTCTCTCTCTCTCTCATATCCTCGCCCCTTTTTGCTTTTCACTGTGAGACAAGGTCTCACTAAACTGCCAGGCAGGACTTCAGTTTACAACCTCCTGCCTCACCCCCTGGGATCTCACTTTCTCCTTTTTTCTACCGAGCTCTGACACCCACACAGCACAGTTCTGCTTCCTATCTCAGACTCAGGCTCCTCCCACTTAACAGGTCCCCTGCCACCCATTTTTCTTTGTTTTCTCTCTCCCTATAAAGACTCTCCTAGCTGCTTCTCACTTCACCGTTCTTTGTTATTTGTGACTTAAATTTGAAAGCACCAGAGCTTCCACATCCCCATAAATTTCTCGTTTGAAATATGCAACTATTCATCACGTAAACATCTCTAAGAGCCTGTGATCATCTGAATCAGGACCAATTGCTGCATCTAGGGAGAGCATTTGATCATTCTTGGGGCTTTGACCTTCTTGTACACCCCTGGTCTCCTAGCCTTGGCACCCCGCTTTCTCATACTGCTTCTCCCGAGTTAACTGTGTGCTCCCCTTTCAGGAGCACTGCATGCTAGGTAGGGGTGCACTTTCCAAAATGCCTCATCCAGTGAGTCCTTTCCTTCTACATAAGACAAGTGCTCCAGAGTGAGAGCTTAATCCTAATTTATACAGCCTGCCACGTCTGTCCAGGGGGGTCCCTCTGCGACCTATTGCTAATATTCCGTTCCTAGGAGAGATGTTAAAAGACATCCAAATCACAACCCAAATTACAGCCACTGCTCATGCTAAGTACAGCTTCAACCTAGCTTACTGTAAAAGTGTGTGACCCAGACAACTCATTGTGTGGCCCATGTGATATACTACAGCACCAGCACACCAATTTCTGTCCCAGGAGGGTTTCTCATCATTATGATAGCAGCCTGTTAAAGAAAGAATGCCCTAGGCCCCAATTCAGTTACGAAGGCTCAAAGATTCAGTTACGGCAAAACCCATCTAAAACTGAGCACAAAATACAGGCTTACTATACTAGTTATGAGTACAGGTGAATCTCCGTCAAGTCTCCACCCCAGGTTTCCTCAACCAGACGTAAATTTACCATATAAATGAAGCTTTGAGGATCCCCTTCCATGCATAATGAGGTGGATCTAGAAATCTCTACACAGAAATTCTAGTAATAACGTGAATAAGGAATCAAAGAGTATAAAAACCCTGGAGTGGAGGCACACTTTGTCTCAGTGCTCAGGAGGCAGAG